TGCCACAGCTGCATGGAACAAGTGGCTCAAGAGGGGGTGTAGTTGGAGCTGCACAAGCCGGCCCCTCTTCTGGCGGCACCTGCCCTCTTCCTGTCTCAGACGTGCCCCCTCTTGGGGGCTACACGCACAGGCGCAACATGACTGGGGCTGGTTTGGTTCGTTTCAAATCCTCTTTATTTCAGAACAAGCTTTACTTATATATGTACAGGAGCGAGAAGGAGGGAGTCAGCACACACAACAGAGGGGAGCTCACGCCCCAAGCTCTCCCCAGCCGGGAAGGGCGCTGCCTCATCTACCCTAGGCCTTCCGTTCCTCTGCTCAAGGCCCCTTCCGACTACCTGGGCTTAGATGGCAGAGAGGGGCGAGTGGGGCCAGGGAGTTGCTTCTTCCTGGGACTGATCTTTGGCGACACTTTCCAGGATGGCACTAGGCTGGTTTGCCTCTCCCAGTTGACATGGCGGGAAATCAACCATCACCAACGTGGCACACTGTTCCCTTGGTTCTGGAGTATTATGCCAGCAACCCCTGTCTTGCCTGCTCTGATCTGCAGCTAGGCCCTGGGCAGAAGTTGAAGCTATATTTGTTGGGGGAGGTATAAGGGTGGGGGATGAAGGGAATGCAGTGCTGGGTAGGGCCTTGGCCACTGGCTCTGAGGCAAGCAGAGGGCAGAATGCTGCAGTTGACTATCAAAGGTGCTCCCAGCACAGCTATAGATCTCAGGCATCACCAAGAGGCTCACATGCCAGATCTGTGGGGGTGGGGGATGGGAGGGTAGGGGAGGGGAGGGGTCCGCCTGAGGGGGGGGTGGGATTCCAGGCAGCCTTTTAGCTTTTAACATTAAGGCTTTGGGCCGAAAGGCCATGATGCCAGTTGCGCAATTTGGCAAAACGTGGGCTGTTACGTTCCGTTTCAAACCTTTCCCTGTGGCACAGAGAGAAAAAGAGAGAAAGAGAGAGAGAAGAAGAAAGAAAGGGATTAGGGGATGTGTCCACTATTTCCCTATGTGATTGCTGGGGCATGGGCATGGGACAGAAGGAATTTGACTTGGAGAGGTTTTGCCAAATGTCGGGATACTTTCCAGGGAGTCAGGACTGGTTTGGGGCAAGACCAGAGTCCCAAGGCCCAGGATGGAGAGACGGAAGCCCCTGACTTGAGGGAGAAGGGGCCATAGAGAAAGAGGCCTGGCTGGGAGGCCTCAGGGCAGGCTGGGCAAAGGAGGGGTAACCCTGGGTCCTCCCCGGCCTGTGTGCTTAGAGGTGAGCAGGGCTGCTTTGGCTGTGAGTTCTCAGAATGAACCAAGTAGGCAGAGGGGCCTAGCACTGAATCCCCTGGCTGGGCTTCAAGAAGGAAGAGCACCTGTCCCCATGATGTAGTTTGGTGAGGAGATTCATCACCTCCCTGTGCTGTCCCAGTCTCTGCAAAGCTTCCTCTCTCCCTAAAGTCTTCATACACCACCGAATACCGCTGCCCACCCAGGCCTGAGCACGGCCACGCACACATGTGCGCACATCTTCACAAGGCGGCTGGCACACAGACAGAGGGCCGGGTCTCCCCCCGCTTCCTGCCAGCTGTTTCTCTGGGACTCAACCCACAGCCGGCTCAGCCCAGGGGAAAGGCAGCAAGGAGCAGCCAAGAAATACACAAACGGAGGAGGGAAAGTGACTGGGAAAGGTCAGTGCTACAGATGCCAGAATCCTAGACCTGCTAGGCTGGAGGGGCCGCTAACCCGCCAGAGCAGAGGCACAGATTGCTGGCGTAGGGGCCTCACCTAGCCATAAACGCTGTGGGTCTCACCTCACTTGAAACAATAATTGCTACTTCCAGACCATGGACTACCACTCAGAAATAAAAAGGCACAACCAAACCACTGACGTACTCAACAACCGGGGTGAAGTCTCAGGGAATTAAAAAAAATCAAGCCAATCCCACAAGATCACATGTTGTGTAATTACATTATCTAGCATTCTTGAACTGACAAATGACAGAACTGGAGAACAGCCTAGTGGGTGCCAGAGGTTAAGGGGCCTGGTACATGGGCTAGGGCAAGGGGCGGCTGTCACCGGCACCGTGCAGGCATCCCTGGGGTGGTGTTCTGCACCTTAGCCATCCTGATGCCAGCATTCTGGTTGTGGCATGGAACTACAGTTATAGCAAGATGATACCATTGGGGATAAAGCATGCATGGGCTCTCCCTGGGTTATTGCTTACAAACGCATGTCAATTTGCAATACTCAACATAAATAATTGATATGTGAGTTGCCAGCACAGAAAGATCAGGAAGATCTGCTTTAGAGCTTTAAAAATCAGAGGATGAGGCAATGCTGGTCTTACATTTCTCCCTGGTAACAGTCTTGCATCCCCAAATTTATACCTGGGAGTTCACTGTGTAAGAGTCTATTTGACAAAGCAGGCCTACTTCTAACACATTGCTGAGGAAGGTATCAGAAAACCACCATTCCGGTCGCACCTTGCCTAATATCGAGGACAACGAGGCCCAGAGATATCACGTGAATGGCCCAAAGACGCACGGAAGCTCTATGGTAGAACCATGATCTCTGTGCCAGCATCTTCTACCTGTCCCTCTGAGATCAGGGAAAAGGAGGTGAGGCCACGGCTGGCACAGCCCTGCGGACAACACAACGGGCAGCAACACTCCTCGTCTCGGAGGAACTGCCCTGCAAACAGATGCAGCCATCTTTGTTGCCAATATCTGCCCACTGCCCCTTCATGAGGGTTCCACTTGAGGGAGGGCCCCCCTGAGCTTTTCCAGGCCCCTGAGAAGTGGGACAGGGCTGACCAGACCATGCACAGGGAGGGAAGAGGTCAGTGAAATTTCCAAGAGGCTGCAGTGAGTTCCTGAGTGATCAGAAGGGAGCAGAACAAGAATAACGGATGGTTATTGCAGAGAACAAGGGAGGACTTGGGAGCATTTTTACATTGTTTGCTGAGGGCAATGCAAGCCTCAGCATCAGCTCCTTGAGCACCACACTAAAACTGACTGTTCCCTAACACCTGGGGCTCAGGAGATCTGCAGTACTTTACCAGGTGAGCATCAGGTAAACACAGAGACGGCATACATAGTGGCTATGCCGCCAGGTAGGGGTCGGGGCAGTCTGGGTCACAAAGCTCTCTGGGCTGCTTACACCCACGCGTGGGAGACCCGGAGGCTTTGCTGTTTCAAGTCCTGGCTAGGCTGGAGCCAGACTAGGATGGAGTCCAGGCTAGGATGGCCCCACTCCCATTCTTGTTGGAGCTGCTCAACATAGGTCCAGTCTGCTAGGCCACCAGGTCCTTCCCCAAATCCCAGCGAATCTAAGGCTCAGCTTTTAGATGGAGGCACTGGCTGTGCCCTGTGACTGCTGATGGAGTACAGGAGAACCAGCACGACTGCACCCCCAAGTAGGGCCCGTGTGGAAGCAGACGGAGGCCAGGGTATAAGCTCACCTGGTCACTGTGCTAAGGAGCTGGGGTCTTTCCTGGGAGAGGAACCAAGTCCAAGGCTGCCATCCGGGCTGTTCAGGAGCCCTCCCTGCCTCACCTATGAAAATAGGACCCATCTGGCTAGTGAGGTGTGAGCCCGGAGTGACTGCCCAAAGGGACATGAAATGATCACGGGAGAGGGAGCGAACGGGGGCTAGAACGCCAGGGTTCTGAAGCCCCTGTTGGCTCTTTGATGAAAGGAACCCTAGGGCCTTAACACTGTTTACCAAGGGGTGTGAGATATAAAACCTACTAAATCTTTGGACTATCCACATAGCTTCCCTGGGCCTCTATATGAGCCACTTCCAAGAGGGACAAACACAGAAACATGGCAAAGGCGCAATGGAGAGGGAGAGGGGTGAGAGCAGACAGCCCACGCGCGCTTCCCACAGCCAGAGGATTGACTGCTGAGCTAAATTAGGCATCGACTCGTTCCAGGTCTGCATCGCCACATTGCAGACACCGAAAGGTTAAGAAGCAGCACTGGGCCACGTGTCATTGCTAGCAGGCCTGGGAAGACCACATTTGAGGCGTGGATACCCCAGCCAAGAGTGGGAGTAACTTGGATTGGCGAAGATTCAGGTTCAGAAACAATAACTACATCAATTCTAGTTGGCCCAGGAGACCCATTCTCTGTCCAGTCCCCTGGCCACGACGCAATGCTTCACAAGTACAGGATGGCTGGGGCAGGGCAGAACAATACCACTAGGGGTGGTAGACCTCCCACAGGGGTGTCTAAATGTGCTGGAACAAAGCAGATGCTCCCAAGAGGAACACGCAGGCCACCTCTGTGCAGGAAGTATAAGTGCAATCACACTAGACGCCATGTCTCTCTGGAGAGGGCCCCAGCATGGAAGGTCCCTGTGGGTTCTGGGGCAATATGCCTCTCAGATCTAGGGCCATGAGCACCTCCCAGGCTGCAGGTGGTAGTGGCCTACCGCTGGCAGGGAACCACACCCTGAGCTACTCACCCCCAAAAGCCCCTGCTCACACCCAGGGCTTGTCCTTCCTTGTGGTAACTTATGTTTTCAACAATATATGAAAGTGACATCTGATCATGGGTCCAGACAGGGGAGTCCAGGGGCCAGGTACCCACACCCAGCACAGTCTGCTGTGCCTGCTTTCTAGCGCTTAGCCTTCAGACACATGTGGGACAGGCCCTGAGATGAGTGGGCAGGCAAGGCAGCTGGCCCAGTGCCCTCACAGAAGAGATGCCCTCATTCTCAACAGCCCAGCAAAGGCCAAAGCAGCCCTGCCCCCTGTCCTGGGGAAGAGCCAGGAGAGCCCAGCGTCCTCACTCCTTCAGTCTGGACCTGGAACTAGAGACAGCTCCAGGTATCACCTCACTGACCTGGGGTGATTGGCTCCAAGCCAACATGTGCTGGCCCTTTAGGGACCAGGAATTTCCAGATACATGAACTTGAAGAGGTTCCTCCTGGAGTCCTATGACCTAGGGGCTGCCTGGGGAAGGGATGGGGTTAGGTGGGGGAAGGCCACGGAGCCGGAGTGCTGGCACTTACCTTGACCTTCGCAAAGCTTCCTCATCAGGGTCTTGCACTGTGGGCAGAAAGTTGCTGGTCAGAAGGGATCAGAGGGACATAGGAAGAATTCTGTGGGCATTGAATCACCACTGAGGACTGAGCAGTTACTGCCCTCGCCTGTCAACTGTAGAAGGGGACAGCTGTGTGGACACAGCACAGGGAACAAAGGCCATGGAAGGGAAGTAGGAGGAGGAGGGGCAGAGGTATGGCCTACCAGGTCCTCACATCCCAGTTCTGGACAGTCATTCGCCACCGCTGGCAGCTGAGCAGAAGACTGGGGGTATTTGCCTGTCCTGCTGGGCCCGGAAGAGGCTCAGCAGGTCACGGACAACCAAGGCTAGTTCATCTCTGAGAACAGCGGGGAGGGCTTGAGTCCCCCATTTCTGCGACCTTCCCCACTGTGGCTGTGGCACCCCAGCATCTCCCTCTTTGGTCCCATCCTCACTTACTAAATTCTGTCCCTGTCATCTGAGCCAAGATGCGGAAGGAGCGAGACTGCAGGTTGGAGGAGCGGCGGGCCCACTCATCAGCCTCATCTTCAGGCTTGTTCTGGTTCTTAATCACCGCCTGATACACGGGTGAGGCACTGTCTACAGCCAGGTCTTTCATAGGCAGATTCCTGCAAGGAGGAAAGAGGCCTTTGGCGAGGGCCGGGCCAGAGCCCTGTCCTTGCACCCCCACACCCATCGGTAGCCCCTACTTGTCTGAACCCACCATGCCCTTTTCCCACTTCCATTTCGGAGCCTGGGGCAAGGGCTTGACCTGGGTCTTCAGTGCTCAGGGTGGTCACAGCAAAACAGCGAGTCCTCTCACAGCAAAACAGCGAGTCCTCTCACAAAGGCCCAGACCCTCCTTCTACCCCATTCCAATGACTCCAGAGACAAGGCCTAAAGAAAACCCACCCCAGGGGTTAAGGAGAGCAGAGGCTGAAGAGATCTGCTGAAAGTAATTTGTGCTTTTCCGAGCAGGCCTTGAGTCTGGGCTGGGTGAGGGCAGGCCTTTCTAGGGACCCAGAGATTTATTTGGGGTCAATCCTTTGCCCTCCTCACACCTCTGGATCCAAACAGGGAGCTGCCATTGATGTGGCCGCCCTGGAAGAGGACTGGGGTCTCCAGTTCAGCTACCCACAGGCAGCTCAGTGGGGTGAGGAACTGGGCAAGCAGGCAGCACTGCAGCTGGCACTGAGGTTTCTGGCCTGGGTTCCGGGGGGTAAAGCCATAGGGAAGGCACTGGTCTCTACCCCAGGACAGCACAGCCTGTGAAAAGGACTTAGCGGCTTCTCTTTGACTTCCAGGGTCTGGCACGTAGTAGGTGCTCAAGGCTTGCTCGAATGACAGAATCCTAGAACAGAGCCCGTTGGGACCAGTGCCTTCTGTCCCAGATCAGACCACAAAGTAGGACATGACAAAAGCTTCAGGATGCCCACTCATTCCATCCACCCTGGAGAAAGTCAGCAGTAATGGCTTCCCTAGACTGTGGGCCAGTGGCCCAGTCCTCTTCTCTTATACATGCTGAGACTGAGGTTCCGAGAGACCAGTGAACTAGCTCCACGTTACAACACACAGGGGCTCTGCTGAATTAGATCCCAGGTTCCCCGGTTCCCTGCCCAGTATCATTTTCATCAGACCCTCTGCAGTGTCAGGGTTCAGGAAGAATGCTTGAGTGGCCTTCACATCCAGATGCTCCACATCTGGAGACATCGTTCAGCCCAGAAACTGGCCTTGTTGGGCTTCCCCCAGGCCTACCTGCCTTAACGATGGCCATTTCTACCTGCCTCTCCCTAGAAGGGGGTCCTCCCAGTCTCCATGTCTTCTATTCTCTCTGCAAGGAACTGAACAGAAGCACTGGCCTAGTGCCCCAGGATTGGCCCCTCAGGTCTGGCTCAAAGGTCAGTAATGAAATCAGAAGTGTAAGATGACAAACGACCAAGGCTAGGTAGTTTCACCTATTTTGCTAAAGGCTTTTCTCTGGCCCACAGAGTTATAAGTTCCAGCAGCCTGCAACTGGGGTTATATGGGAAAGATCAGAGGAGACCTCTGGGGTTCAGGCAGGTAGGACCCTGTGCAACCCAGGGAGCAGAGCGCAATGTGGGATCTCACTGGATGTAGGTGGCCATTTCTGGGCTGGGAAGCCATCCTAAGGGCCCTGGGAGCAGAGTCTGGGCCGCTGAGGTCTCTGGGTAAGATGGAGACTAAGAAGGCACAACAAGCACTCCCTGGTCTGCGAGGAAGAGGGGAGGAGTGGGGAAGTGTGGGAGAGGGACGGCATGGCCCCAAGTCCAGGCCTGGCCCTGGAGTCTGTCTATATCACCTTTGTGGTCCAGAAAGCAAATGGAAGGCCCTTGCTGCCATTTCCCTGGAATGTGCCCTTGAGGCGCTCCCCTGTCCCCCGCACGGCTCCATTGGGGCAAGAAAGCTGCTGGGAGGGATTCCCTGAGGGTTCACATTATTGGGTTCATTTCCTACCAAGCGGTGCAGACTCAGGACTGGAGTTGCTGCCCTGACAGAGATTGGGGATCAGAGCAAGGACAGCCACCAAGACTTTTAAGATGCCAGGGCTCAGGGAAAGCACATACAGAGAGGCGATGGAACAGGTTCTGCAGCGCAGGACCCTGGGCCCAAAGGCCCTCTGGAGCCCCTATCAGTGTGGTCTCTACCACTGAAACACTCCACGGTCACACTCTGTCAAGGTCACCTCTGGGCATCTGTTCCTTTGGGCACTGCCCTGAGTCTGACTCATCTTTTGCTTCCTGGGGATGGTACTGGCAGGGGCTGGCTTCTCCACCCTCTCAGGATTCTGAGGAGTGGCTTCCAAAGGGCCCCTTCCCATCCTTTTCCCTGAGTAAGGGCCCAGGGTAGACTCCGACATTCAGGTCTACACTGACCCGTGCAAGCAGGAAAGGTGGTAGGGCACCCCCATGTAGCTTGATTAAGAGAACATAGGGATGTAGCCCACCCTTGGGGGCAGGGAGCTCTGTGTCCACAGTGAGGTTATGTGGGGCAAACCCCAAAAGCCATCATGTCAGGCGAGGTGGCTCCAAGGCAGAACGTGGACGGAGTCAGTGGCCACTGTCCTCACACATGGCCCATTAAATCTACTCCCCTCAACCCACAACCAGACAGACGGACGACGGAACAGACACTGTGGGTCTACTTACGCCAGCGGAGACGCCCTGCCAAGCAGAGGGAAGCCCAGCAGGGGTGTATGTCCATCAAGGGTAGCAGAGGGGCGGCGCACACAAGGGAGCAGGGTTAGGATGAGAAATGAGTTACGGGAATGGAGTGAATAAAGGAGGAAGAGAGAGAGAGAAAAAGAAAATCGTCAGTGAGGAAGGATTCGTGGAGATTAACAGCAGAAACGGAGCACCTCGTGGCAGAGAACGGCAGCTCTCACCCACTGGCACCACAGTAGCATCAGCCCAGCAGGGCTGAGTTAGAAGGAAGGGAAAGGGTGTTGCTTCCCAGGCATGGAAGGGCAGGGGAGGGGGGGAAAGATAAGGAAGATCCTTCGGAATGCCTACGTTAGATTCATGGTGCATAACGTTAAAACCAGTCATGGATGTTGCAGTAGTAAAACCAAAGGAGAGCAGTCTTTTCCCAAGCTGTAAAAAGTAAAGTTAGTGAAGAGCGATTCTTCCATTATTTTCCACTGACCCCCACTTTGGTAACCACTACCACTGAGCACACCAAGGACACACAGCAGACAAATGTTAACAGGAAATCCCTGCTAGCTCCTTGGCTTAGTCAGGCAGCCTTTTCTGGCTACGCATGAGCTAACGGTGGTGTTTTTAAACTTGCATGGTCATATTTTCTGCTTTGAATGATGGAATTAAATAAATAACATTGTCCAGAGTTCCGTGAAGAGCTACAGCCCACTTGACTCAGAGCTTCAGGGCAAGCAACCTCCTCCCCCTGCTGGTCGGAATGTGGTACTGTGTTCTTGAGGCTGGTGGGGCATGGGGGCAAGTTGGGGCTGTCTCCCACTTTTTGCTTTCTGGAGCCTGCCCTTAACCCACCCACACATTTGACGGTGTTACTGGGCTGGGTTCTGGTAATGTCAAACACTGTATTTGGGACTTGTTAACCCTCTTTCCCTCTTACAACAGTTCTTAGTTTCAGGAAAAGTACAGCCATCATTTTAAGATTTTTTTTGCCTTGAGTTGCTAAGGATCCTGACTCAGGGATAAGGTGTTATCCAAAGATATAATCAGTTGATTTGAAAGTCAACACTAAAGTTATTCTCAAGTAGAAACAGCAAGAGACTATGAATGTGTGTGTGTGAGCGCACACATGAAAGGAAGAATGACAAGAAACAGACAGACAGAGGGTGAAAGACACACATGCACATACATACAAATAGAGAAAAGCAATGATACATAGAAAGAGACAGGAAGGGAGATATAGGCGGAGATATAGAAAGTACAGAGTGACAGAAAGAGACAAAAGGGAGACAGACAGACACACACACACAGGCAAAACCAGAAAGAAACACAGAGAGGTCCCCATTATATTCACACTACTGGCGGTTTCACCCGCAAATGATTTTCAGTCATTTCTTGTCATACTCACAGTTTCCTCCACCATTACTGACAGACAAATTCCAGATAGAGGGTGCCCTAAGCCCCACTGCCCTGGGGCCAACAGGAGACAGGGTGTAGCACTGAGGGCTCCCCAGGCTCCACAGGGGGGCTGACTGCCTGTGATGATTGGTCCAGAGACCCATTTCCAAACAAGAAACCCAGTCGGGTACTTGGATCACTCTCATAGTTGGAAGATCGCAGCTACTCCTTCCCAACCACCACCAAAGAATGGCTTGGCTGTGATAGGACTGGATCATCCAGACTATGACCCTGGTTAAGGGGGTTCCAGAAGTCAGCCCCCTCATGTAACCTGGGAAAATGCAGACACTGTGAAAAGCACTTGGAAGAGCCAACACAGTCTGCATTTCTCCACTCTTCTAAAGCTGACCATGATATGGATTCTGAAGAGAAAGCACCATGTTCTGGAAAGCCCTGGTGGAGGCTGGTTTCCCTTGGAGGCCTGTGCCCCAGGAAGCCCAAGATGAGGGAGGAATGCTGGTCCAGATGCCTAAAGTCTCTGAAGGTGCCCAGCAGCCTGGGGCCCTTGGCCTCTGCAGGTGAAGAGGCCTGGCCAGTGGTGGAGGCATCAAACGATGAGCCACGGTGGAGGAGGGGAGGCGCTTACCCACTGAAGTCACTGCCCTGGGCCTGGGCCTGCCCGGCGATGGCATCCATGATGGCATCCTGGGAGTACATGCTGATGGGTGTGTTGTATTGTGCGTGGATGATGGTGGCCTTGCCACCCAGCCCCTTCACCTCAATGGGCTTGTGGGTCGACAGGGCTGAGTCCTTCAGGGCGTTGGGGTTGAAGCGTTCCTGGTAGTCAGCACTGGGGGAGGAGAGCATGGGAGCAAAGGGGGAGGGGCAGGAGAGGGAGATGGAAGGAGAGAAGGGCAACAGGTGGTGTTATATGGCAGGTCAAAGTGAGGACTGGCAGTGGAGGGTGTGGAGAGAGATCCCAAAAGCCTGACCCCAGAGAGGTTACTCATCTCCCAGACAGTGGGTGGCCTGGTCTGGTCAGGAAATGCTCCTCATTGTCCTATCCCCTAGCTCCCCACACCCCCACCCCACAGCACTTTGTGGATGGTTTTTCTTGCTCTTCTTGACTTTCCCGGATCTCTAGAGGCCTCTCTCAGTCTGAGTTACCTCCCAGGGTCACCTGGAGGCATGAGGGCTCTCTCACCACATCTCTCACCACTCGCAGGGTAGCAGAGACAAAAGGCTGGGAGTGGGGGCTGGAACTGGGGAAAGCTGGGCCATACTGGGGCACACGTGAGTGGAAGCTACAGCCCAAGCAGAGTCAAGAACGCCCCAAAGGCGAAAAGCAGCTCCAGTGAGATTCTGAACCAGGTTCTTCCACAAAGGGGCTCATCTGGTGGCCACGGTCTTGGTGACCTGGCGTTCTGCTCCTCTGAAATCTTCTTCCATGCATTTCTTCCTCAGAGCAGGGTTCAGGCTGCTCAGTCTCTTTCAGGTCCAACTTGCTGTGAAGTCACCCATGTCTGCCCATCAGGGCCTTTCCCTCCGCAGGTAGATGAGATGGCCAGGCCAAGACAAGGTGCAACTCAGCCTTCTGAGGAGCCCCACCAGGACAGTCTTCAGACCCCCACAGACCCCTTCTCAAGCGTGGCACTCCACCCATTACCCACCAGAGCCAGCCTGCCTTCCTAAGCAGCTGCAGCAGGGACTGAAGGCGGGCGCATCAGACAGAACCCTGGCACCCCTCCCCAGCGCCTCCACTTCACACTCACAGCACCACACATGCGGGCTCACTTAGGGTGCTCACAAACGCACCCCCCACTCACACATGCACACACATGGACACATGCTGGCAGGTCTGCTGTCCTGACAGACGCACGGATGCATGCTGGGATATGCACACAAGCACACACACATGCTTTCCTTTGATACTAACTTGGCTGGAGAGTTGGCTATCACCTGGGAAGGGGAGAAAGAGCAAAGATAAGGCTGTCAGAGCCAGGCTCTGGCCAGCAGGGTGTGGGGAGGAGTGGAGCCTTGGGCCCCTCCTCAGACTGGCCTTGGTGGAGGCCAGCCAGCCCAGCGGGCACTGGGTACAAAGGGTATGGAGAGAGCTGAGTCAGGCTGAGCCTGGGGGACCACAGTTGAGGTCAAAGATGCCGAGAGCGGTGTTTGCCCTTCAGTAGGCCCCTCAGTACCCAGAGCTTTGGCGGGAAGGCTTTCTTGTCCATCGTCATGGGCACTCATGTACCACGACATAAATTCCCCATGTACAGCCTGACTGTGCACATAGACTGCAGGGGAGGAAGCTGGAGATGAGACAGAGCCAACTGTGGCTGCTGCAGGAAGGGCCAAGACTCCAGGTGCCTCTTAGCCAGACAATAGCTCTGGGCTTCCCCTTGTTTGGTGGGCAAGGGGGCAGCTCAAGGAGCTCCACTCACTGAGTAGGAGGGGTAGGGTGCTGGAGACATGTGCAGCGGAGTTGCTGCAGCCCCTGTGATCTGCTCTCCCTCCCAGGGAGTCCAGGCCACTCCCCCTAGGGTACAGGGGTAGGTGGCTCTGTGCAGTACCCGGTCACCACTACGACGGGCCCTATGGATGGGCAATGAGGCCGGATGAGGGAGTGGGGAGTCTTAGGGAGAAGTGTGGGTCTTAAGCCTATCCCAGGATAGGCCCCTAGCCGAGGCAAGACAGCATGGACACAAGAAGGACCCACCCCTCATGCCTTTTAAGAGCAAGCCTCCTGGAGCGCCACCTCTTAGGGGAATCTTTGTCTGCAGTGTGTTTCTTTGAGTTCAGTGTCAACTCCTGCAGCACCAAGAGCCTGTCAGAAACCTCAGGGGAAAAAATGCTGATGGCGGCATGCCTGTCCCTGCCACCTTCCAGACCTCCTTCCATCTTCCTGACCACTGTGGGCTCTGAGTGGGGGAGCATGGACAGGACAGTTGGCCTGTCCCTGGTTAACCTGTGGCCAGGACTTTGGGCCACCAGATCAAAACTAAGGAACCTCAAGCCCTAGGCCGTTTCACAGTGGCCCTGTTCGGCCTCCACCTGACACTGTCTCCAAGCTAATAAAATCCTCTCTGTCTTCCCAGGCTCAAAATAGCTGTAAGTGGAGCTATATTAGGAAAGAGCCAGCACAGATCTTCCATTCCTTGTCCATTTTTGGCCAGTACTGACAACTGCAGGGTGGGCTCTTGCTCTGAGCTCGTAGAGGGCAGTAATGACACTGGGGGTTGCCTCTGCCCAGGTAGCCAGTTCTTTCTTTGGTATTAATTCCTGCCCACAGCTTAGCTTCCACTTGAGGGCCTGAGACTGGAACGTCTCAGCAGACACAGCTCAGAGAAGGCCCAGAGGCCCAAAGGTGGGGGTGGGAGGCAGAGGGAGGAGTCAGTTATAAGGTCTGCCGGGGGGCCTTTTCACCGAGTGCTCTGAGGGACGCTACCTTCAGTGCTAGCCCCAAAGAGGTCAGGAGAAGGGGGTGTAGGGTGTCTCAGACCCAGCTGTCCCCTCACTTGTTCTCTGTGCCTCCCAAAAACAGCTTTGGAATCACATTAGAAGTTGCCTAGAGAGAGTAGGGGGCAGAAATTCCTTTTGGGGCCAGACAGGAAAGGGCTCAAATCTTGCTCCTCCCTCTTCCTAAGCTCTGTGACTCTGGGAGAGATACCCACCTAGCCCAGCCTCCATTTCCTCATGCATTTCATCCCAGTGGCCTCAGCAGAACTGGATTGTGCAGACTAAACAGAATCCTGAGTATAAAACCCTTGGCATGGGTACTGCATGTGGTGGAGGGATAAGCATTTGCTGACCCTGTCTGCTGCACCAGTCTCTTAGCGAATGTGGAGGCCTCGGCCCAGGAGGCTCCACCACTCCCGCAGACCCTTCCTAGGGACGGCAGCACCAGCCTTCACTGTGGAAGAAGCTTTCGCTCCGCTCCTCCCCTGAACGTCAAGCCCCTTTACACCAGGGGAGAGTCATGAGAAGTAGAATGGGCTGGCTCCTGACAGGTCCGCCTGGGTACCAGTCCCATCTACCACTCAATGGATTTGTCATTGGGAAAAGTCTGACTCTTAGCTTCTGTTTCCCAGTTGTAAAGTGGAGGGAGTGATGTTCACCTTTGGAATTGCCAAGGACGGTGTTAGTGTGGGGACCACTAGCTGTCCCCACCTGAAACAGCACCATCCCTGCAGGTGGGTCTCTCGGAGGCTTGAACCCACTAGAGCTTGACCTCCCTGCCTGGCTCCAGTTCCAGAGAGAACCAGTAAGAGCAACCAGCTCATCCAAGCCCAGAAAGAGGCTGTTTCTACGCTGCCATTCCCTGAGTTCTCAGGTGGAAGCCTTTTGATGGAAAAAATATATGACCTTGGCACACAGACTAACCTCGGGATTCCAAAAAGGGCTGGGGGACCAATGAACCCCCAGAGACCATTGATCTGCTAGGGCACAGGAACCAAGGCATTGAGTCAGACTGACGTGGGCGAGACTATCTCAGGTTGTGATTCTGACTCATGGGCATACCTGTTGCGTGACTGCAGGCAACATGAAGTGAGTGTATGCTAGAACTAAGCTCAGCATTGTGTGTGGGTGCAATTGTTTAGTCCTCTCGGTAATCCCTAGACATGGATAGTCTCGTGCCCATGCGTAGAGGAAGAGCCTGAACCTTTCATTGGGCCATGGTGCCTTTACTCAGCCTATTCTGAGTAAATCACACTGCGTGAATGGTGAATGGTAGAAGGGACAGTGAGATAACAGTGTGAAGGGTTTATAAAACTAATACTGCTTGCTAAAGTTCTAGTTTCTATAAAGGCCTGTGCTCTCAGATTCCCACCGGCTAGCCTAAAAATGGGGTGGAGTAGAGAGGTGGGCTGCTGATCTCCTCCAGAAGGCCTTCTCTTTGAGGCCCTACCTCCTTATTGTCTTGTTCCAGCCAGGAGCAGTCCTGTCAGCTTGCACACCTCTATTGTCAAACCTCTGCTTCCAGGTCAAGGTGCTCCCTCCTCCCGGCAGCTTTCCCAGACCACTCCCAGCCCTACAGCGCTCATCATCACACTTCTCTAAATCTTCCTGCTCCTGCCTCAGCTCCGAAAGAGGTGAGACAGCCTGTCCCTTGCTCTTCCCTTTGCTCCAGAGCTCCTGGAGGCAGCAGGGTTTGTGCTGTTCTGGGTGGTAGTGTGAAAGTTTCGGGAATCAGTCTTTTGTATTCAGACTTAGCTTAACCACCACATTGAAACTGGACATGGATGTTGACTTAACCTCTCTGAGCCTCAGTTTCCCCCTCTGCAAAATCCAGCATGTCACTCCAGTTCTGTAAAGTTGTTATGCACCCAGCTCATGGTAAGTGTCAATAGGATCGATGCTTTCATTGCTCCCAGCCAAGCGCTGCCTCACAGATGTAAGGTAGGCTGGTTGAGGCCAGCTCCTTGTTCTGACCACTTGACCAGGCCCTACTGAGCACTGAAGACCCAGGTGGCCCCAGATTACCACCGGAGAGCTGTGCACCCATTACCTACCCTCCTGGGAGTCCAGCACCTGAGGCCTTCCCTCGGAGGCTCATCTGATACATTTGAGCCATCTCCCTCAGAGTCTCTGCCGAGTACAGGCCAATGGGGTTGTTATACTGCCTTGGCTGGCTTGGGCCCAGTGGTGCTTTGGGGCTGAGTGAGTCCAGGGCCCCCTCCGGGCTTGTCTTGGCCCCTGGGCTGGCCCGAGGAGGGCCGGAGTCAGAAGCCTCTGTTTGTGAGGAGAAGATGGAGGCCTGGGAGAAGGAGGAGCTAAAGGTCTGCCTGAGCTCGGGGGTGCCCGGGCTGACAGGGCTGACCCTCGCCTCAGGGTCAGGGCTGGGCACCACCGGGCCGCCGTTCGTGTCCGGAGCAGGGTCCTGGCACAGGGTAGCCACCATGCAGGGAAAGAGAAGAGAGCAGTTAGAGGCCACACGCATCCTAGCGCTTGTGAATGGACCTGAAACAGAGGTGTTAGAAAGAGCACCCAGCAGCCTGCAGCCCATCACACAGAGTTTGGCAGTGGTCGAGGGACATCTGGAATAGAAAGGTTTAGTCAGGAAGAACAGGGATGCACGTGACTCTTGGCCCTGAGACTGGGATCCACCTGGACAAAATGCAGAGCCCCACACAGAAAGCCAAGCCAGGTCAGCCTGCCTGCAGGACTGGAAGAAAGGGTTGGAGAAAGGGAGTGTGGGTTTCAGGGAGTGGGGGAAGCCCCTTCCAGCTTATGTCTGTTTTCCTTTCCTGAATGGGAGCATCTGGTGGGCACAGCTCACTGTATTGACCCCACACTGAGATGCCCCCACCTGGCCAGCGAGAGGGGACCTTTCAGATTGGTGGTGGACAGGGAAAGATGCAAGAGGAGAAGCTGAGGATGTAGGGGCTAACATTTGGCTTCTTCAGTCCGCCTCTGTAACTTCTCCCAAACAGCCCTCTGCAACTCCCAGTCTGTCACCCAGCCCAATCCCTTATATTCTTCTTCTTATCCTTCCCACTGCCCACTGTATCCACTAGATGGACAGCGGTCAGTATGAGGTCATGTAGGGAAGGGTAGGGAATCAGCCCTACGGTGGGTCACCCATGTTTTGAGTCAGGTCCCAGGGGCCCACAGGGTCAAGCTGCTTAGAGAGAGCTGGGAAGGGGCTAGGCATGGAGGTAAGGTCTGGGTCCCAGACCCCTCCTCCCCTGTGCCTGCCTCTTGACCACCACCAGCCCTTTGACAAGGGTGTGCATATGGCAGGATAAATGGAACTGGAGGCAGGGATCCTGAGTCAGAGGCTCCAGGGTGGTGGCTAGCACCCAAAGAAGCAGCCCCACTTATAATATTTCTTTGGGGCTGGGATGCCTCTCCCCAGGGGGCTGGCTGCCTATCTCCTTAAGGTCAGCCATGGCAGGGGGTGAGGTGGGACAGGGCTGATCCCACCCTCTCACTCCAGTTGGGCCAGTTAGGCTGGGTCAGGCAGGCAGAGCATGGCTGAGGGTCGAGCCTGCTACCGGCAATCAACACCTACCTTCTGGTGGGGAATCACCGGGAGAGGGGACTGGACTGGGGGCGCCGTCGTGGAGATGGGAACGGGGCGCTTTGACCTGGAAAACCAGAAATGGAATTGAGTGAAGAAAGTTGCTCTTGGGTCCAGGAGCTCCTACCTGGGCAGCACTGTACAGTGGAGAAGTGGGGAGCCAACTCAGAGGACCCAGACTTACTGTCCACCCCAAAGACTAGGTGTCCTGGGCGTGACCAGGACGGAAAAGTCACTACCCTTAGATACTTCACAGCCACGGGCCTCTGCTAGATCCTTGAGAGGATGTCTGGACCAAGAGGCGGGAGAGAAGACCCCTGGTTTTTAGGCCAGAATACCATATACGGCAATTTTGGAATTTGAGTTACAGACATGGCAGGTGCTTAACAACTCAGGCCTGGTCTTCCTCTGCTCCGGAGGCTGTCCTTACTTTCCTGTATGGTGCTGTGGCACCAGGCTGGGTCATGTGACTGTTGCTGGACAACCCTGTTCAAGTCCCCGATGCCCACGCCCTACCACCACCCCTGGTCAGGAGAGCTCCCACCTACTTTTGCAGTGTGAGGCTCAGGTTGTAGCTGGCAGACTTGATCTTGTTCTGGGCCTCCAAATGGGTCATGGTGTCTGTATTGACACCATCGATGGCCACCACAAGGTCACCCTGGCTGAGCTGGGACTGGGCCGCCTTGCTGCCTGGTGTGATCTGAAGAGACAGGAGATGGGGAGAGGTGAACATAAGAATGGTAGGGAGGAGTCACCTTGGATCATCCAAGAGGTCCGCCATCTTGTCTTTCACTCACCATGGGCAATGAGTGCTGCTTGCCAACATTGATTTCTCTTGTTGGCACATACCTGCCACATTTCCTAGTGCTTTCTCTGTGCTAAGCCATTGAGATTTGGAGGCTGTTTGTAACACCAATTAGCCAACTATCATATTTTTTTTTTAAAGATTTATTTATTTGTGCATACAGAACTGGGGTACAGGCCAGAGGCTCATGGGCTGCGAGAGGCTTCACCAGAGACAGAGTGGGGAGCAGAACAGGCAGATGGACGAAGTACACTGCTGAGGGGAGCAACAGGCAGGTCAGGAGAGGTCTGCCACGCCATGTGGTCACCTCCGGGGCAGGCGGGAATCGAACTCATGCGGAAGCGGCTTTAGATTCTCAGCGCTATGCTTTAACCCGCTGCGCCACCAGGGAGGGCCCAAACTATCATATTTTAATCACGAAAACTTATGGAACACTTGTCCAGGCCCCAAGACCCAAGGCTCAGTGCCACTGTAGACACAGCCAGGCCAACGGGCCGGACAAACGCACCCTCACAAAGTATCCTTTGGCAAATGCTTAGTGTTACCAAGCCAGAGATGCAGAGTGCTGGAGGAGGTGTCAACCCTGTCTAGGGGAGCAAAATCAGCTGGAACAGGGGGTGCTTAGTGTTTGGTGGTCAGCTTTGTACTTCCTGAAGGGGAGGTGCCGGTGTAAGAACTGGTTCCCAAATCCTGTGTGCTAATGACATCACAGAATGTTAGAGTCTGGGGCCCCCACCCTCAATGTGATCACACAGAATGCCGTCTAGGGAACATCTCATGCAGTGTCAGAAAAGCCACGCCCCTGGGGACATTCCTTGGGATGCCACAGTGTCTCAGACTCCACTCCCCAAGCCAGTTTGCACATTACCAGATTCTGCATGTCCAGTCCTCAGCAATAGCACGATAGCAATATCACATGAAATGCAAAATTCTGGAGGGCCTAGGCACGTCAGCTTTACAGCCTGCCCTTAGTGACATTCATTGCATGGGGTGTGTGAAGCTCCAACCCTAATGTCTCATGGAATGTCATGGAATCTCTGGTTCCATCCTTCCTGACATCATCTGGAATACTGCATAAGTCCCAGTCCCCGCTGACCTCACATAGATGACATTATGACAGGACCGCTTAACATCATAGAAACCCTCCTGTGACAGCACATGGGATGCCTTTTAGGCCCCACTCCCAGGGAGCATTTGGGGGCTGCCCCTGCTGAGCGGTGACCCATGGTGCCCCTTCACTATTCCTCTAAAACACGCCCACCAGCCAGCCTCCTGGTTCTCTGGGCACTTCCCAGTCACCTTCCTGGCGGTACCCTAGGGACAAGGCTAGTTCCTAATGCTGGCAAGAGCCGTTTTTTGGCTAAGGCCTGGGAACCATCCTAGAAAGAGCCCAGAGAAGATGTGGGGAAGTCCCTTGCCTAGGTGCCAAGCCTGGGTGGGCCTCTGGCCAGATCCTGGGCTTCCAGATATGGTTGGAAACCTCTGGCCAGGCCCCTCACAGGAATCCTCCATCCACACCCGTGCCCTACAGTCACCCATCTCCAGCCCACCCCCAGATGAGCTCTGAATAGGGACCACATGTGATAAGCCAGTGCCAACAGCAAAGCTAGGAGCTAGGTGCACACTTGCCAGTAGTCTTAACCCACCATTTCAGTCCCAGGAGATGTGGTACCTTCTTAACTCTGGCCATCTTGGCCCAGAGCATCCCCTCACCATCCCACCCCCCTATCCAAACATCTACACACACCAGTCTGCAGAGAGAAAGCAAGGAGAGTAGAGAAACAAATCCCTGGTTAGCAAAGTTCAGGCTGCACCCCCCAGCTCCCATAAGGGCTGCTTAGAACGATGCAGGACTTGTCAAAATACACGTCACTTTTATGCTCAAATCTGTGACTTCAGAGAACTTCTGCTAAAGACAGACGTGCCTTCCTTTGATTTAAGGGGTTGAGCAGATTAAAAATAATAAAGAAAGACAACTTTCTAGTTTGAGGGGCCTCCAGAGGCTAGCTGAGCTGGCCTATCCTCCCCCCACATCCCTGGCTTCCTGTTCAGACCTGCACTGATCCCAGCGCTTACAATAGATGTCTTCAAATATGGAAAACCTGGCAAGAATTCTACAATGAACAGGCCTCCCTGGTGGCGCAGGGATCAAGTCTCGTGTTATCAAGCTATTGCCAGCCACTGAGGCAAAAGTTTGATCCCCAGTTAGGGTGCTAACCCACATGGTGCAGCAGACCTCTCCTGATTGCCTGCTGCTCCCCTCAGCAGTGTATTTCAGAACCTGCCTGTTCTGCTCCCCACTCTCTCTCTCTGTTGAATCCTCTCACCCTCCGCACCCCTGACCTACACTCCAGTTCTTTTGTACATAAACAAATCTTTAAAAAAAAAATCTACTAGCCATCAGTCTTTGGAGCTTTTCAAAGTAAGTTGCAGATACCACTGCACTCCCATTCAAGATGAGCTGCACAATAACCCTGCTGTTCTGGTAGCCTGCCCTCAGGCCCTCCACCAGGACAACCAAACACCAGAGATAACCTCTATCAGGGCTCCCCTACCACAACGCACCCTTGTATACCAGGACTCCTCCACGCCTGGGCTCCCCCATACCAGGACTCTCTCAGCACCAGGCAGGGGATGTCCACAGTAAGTCACCCACAGCAGAGGCCAGGCCTCCTGGGGTGTGCAGTCCAGGCCCCCTCTCTCTGCTTTCCTGGTTCTAGAAAGGCCCCAACACAGCTACATCCTTGAAATGTTGTGTTTCCTTTTTTTCTTAATCTCCTTTTGAATATTTGAGAAATTTTTTTTAATGATTGCTTGATTCCTACTTCATTTTTCAGTCATCACCTTTCACCAGTGACCTCTCAACTGGGAATCCAGCCCTAGGCAGAGCTCTAAGACCTGGCTCATTTCTCAAAAGTTCCCTGGAGTGGGTTCTAGGTGTTTGGGCGTCACAACCACCACCTGGCCCACAGAAGCCCTTCCACTTTGCTGGTGGTCTTAGGGAGCCCCAGCGGGGGCACAGGAATAGCTGGAGCAGCTTAAGCCTCACCATCTCTGGATGGTGAGGGGAAGGTAGCGGAGAGCATGGACTTTGAGCCTAGTCAGACCTGAGTTGCAGCACCACCCTCTATGTCCTGAGCCAGCCCATGGCACTTCAAGAGGCCTGAACATCAGAAATGTCTATCTGGGGTCCTGGGGAAACAAGGCACAGGCTGACTCGTGACACCCACACCCTGGGCTCCTGTTTCTCCAGGTCCCTGGCAGCAGAGTGGCAGCTGGGCTCCACCAAAATTCCTGACCCCGAGCCAGACAGGCCTCTAGATCTGCCACTGAAAGGTGGCAGTGGATGCTATGGATGGTGCTACTTCCAGTATCTCCACCCAGCACTCCTGGCCACCCTGGGGATTTCCCACAGAGCCCTAAGTACATTCAGCATTGTGTGATTGAATTACCCTGCGCCACGCCACGTGCTGCTCCCTTCCCATCTGGCCTCCCCTGGGGCCTTGCCCCATCCCTCTCACTGTCGCTGGTACCTTCTGTCTCCCCCGCCCGTGGCCCCGCTCTCCAATCCCACTCTGGTTGATAAACAAGTCAATCTCATCTATACTCAGGAAGTCTTGCCTTGCACTGAGAATTCTTAGGGCAGTAAAACTAGAATAGTGTCTTGTCTCCTTGTCACTATAAATGAATGGGCTCAAAACCGTAGAAAGTATGAACTCCAGGGGCAAATCCTAATGTCAGCTATGCAGCTTTATGAATTGTAAGGAATGGACCACTCTGGTAGGGAATAATGGGGTATGTATGGGAGTAGGGGGTATTTGGGAGATCTATGCATCTGCCATTCAGTTTTACTGAGAACCTAAAACTGCTCTACAAAATAAAAATAAAGCCTAAAAACCAAAAGGCTTCCTCCCTGCCTATCCTAACTACTCCACTTGGCTCCTGTCAATATTTCACCTTCAGACCTCCTCAAGAGTGACCAGCAGGCCCTGGCCCTACACTCAGCTCTCTGACCTTGAGTCCCACCACCCAGTGCCCAAAGCCAGGGGGCCCCAGTCCCCTCTCTAGCTGACCACTTCCCTCCCCAGCCTTCTGAGTCTCTTCTCCACCTTCTGCCTTCCTCCTCCTTTTGTTCAGGACTGCTGTTCTGTTTGTGTTCCAGATGGTGCTAATAGAAATGTTCCTATGGGCATTTCACTCTCACTGGGCCCCAAAGGGATGGAGAGGCTGTTTGGGAGTGGAAGGGTTTGGGGAGGGGACTTTTGCCATCATGAACAGCCCCTGGGTGAGAGGGAACCATGTAGAGAACGAAGAAGATTCAGAGAGCTGGGGTGACATCTCCTAGGCTGGCGGAGGCCCAACAGTGTCCTGCTGTCCCTATCACAGGACCCTGCCTCCTCACACTTACTGCTGTCCCACAATGCCTTTAGCCTGGGAGCCTGCCCATGAAGTCGTCCTTGCCCTGTGTCTTGACACAGGACCCCAAAGGGTTCTTCCACGAAGATCTAGTCGGCCTCACGCTCACTCCCTTCAGCGTCCTCATGAGACCAGAGACAGCTCTGTGTGTCCGAGTATGAGGTAGGTGGAGTGGGGGCAAGGGCACTTGGAAGAATGCATTCCCCCTAAGTAGCTTCCCTCTGATTATCTCCTGATTTCGGGGAGGGCCCCAAGGGAGCCCTCAGAGCTTTACCTGACCTTCAGCGAGGCTATAAACAGCAAGACCTGTCAGCACTGCTAGGCGCTGCCCAAGAAGCAGCACGACATGCTCCAGAGGTCTCAAAATTCCAGGAATCGCCAGCACAGCTACCCCAGAATAGTCTTGGCCTGCTCCCCTTCCCCCCCTGGGGACCCTTTGTCCTCTGCATCTCCATCCCCACCGGAGCTAGGACAGTCTGAGTCAAACTGGAGCCAAAAACAGCAAAAGGACAGAGGCATTTGAGCTGCCGCCCCGAGGTAGGCTTCTGGGGAGTGGGGGTGGGAGGTGAGGCCCAAAGGGATGGAGGCCTTGGGGCAGTGACAGACCTCCCACCTCCCAGTCTCCGCCCCACCACCCTGCCAGATTCAAGACCAACCAGCCAGAACAGCAGATGTAAAGTATTTTCACAAGTGCATATTAGAAAACATTCTCACAGGTGCTTTCATGGAGACATGGTCTCCATGTAGAGGTGAGAAAACAGAGCTAGTAAACTGACATTCAAGGCGACACAGCTATGAGTAGCAGGGCCAAAAAAGAGCACACCCACACCTCTTCCCAAAAGCCCAGGGCTTCACCAAGGAGGGACCCAGTGGCAAGGCCCAGACCCTAACCTAAAGCAAAGCTTAGTTGCCTTGGCAGGGGTAGGGACTGAGCCTTTGGCATGGCTCCTGTCCTTCCCCCACTTCCTGGAGAACCGGCTGGGGTTGGGCGGCTGTGAGAGGCAGATCATATTGCCGGCCCTGCTGCACCTGTCCAGGATAAATAACGGCATTTCCCCTCCACCCTCCTGAACCCCATTCTCCATGTGCCCTCAGGCTAAAGCTCACTGAAGGGAGCCTTGAGGCTCTACTTCTATCCCAACGTGGATGCTGTGGGGCCTGTGGGAGTGTGGGCAGGGCAGGGTGAGTACGGAGCTGGCCTTCTTACAGGAGAGGCCCTAGCCTGTACCTTCAGTGACAGAGTACAGGACCCATATTTTTTCCTACTAGCCTTTAGCCAGGAAGGTGAGGGGCCAGGCATGGGAGTTAGGGGTTACAAAGGACACAGGAATTCCTGTGCAAAGGGGAGCCTCAGTTTACAGGCTCTGAAGTGAGACAGTAATTCCAGCTCTGCCTGGCTGACCACCTTAGCCTTGCAGTGCATGGTGAAGATGGTGAAGGGGGTGGGCAAAGGTGCCAGCCTCTGCTAGAATGAGCAGGCCCCACCTTTGCTGACCCCCCCACCACAATATGCCACTAGACCCTTGCGTATGGGTTCAGACCATAGCTCTTCTGCCCCCCCCCCCCGTGACTATGCAGATGCCTCTCTATTTCCCCTTTTCCTGGTAAACCTGTCCTTTTAAAATGTGAAAAGAAAAGTTTCAGGCCAGAGCTTGGAAAGTCCCTTGATCTAGCAGGAGATCCCACTCATGAATGGAGGTGGGAATAGGGTTCCTCCAGAGAGCTTTGGCTCTGCATCCCCTTGGGGGGGAAGTTCCTGGTACATAAGGACCTCAGAGCCTCAGCAGGAAGTACCACAGCCCTGGTGAGATGACAAGGCCATGAGTCCATGGGGCCGGCCTGACTGAGACTGGGACACACGAGCCCAGGGTATCAGCAACCCACCAGCGGACTTCATTAAGAGAGGCCCCAGGGCCCGGTCCGACTTGCTCCTTGGTCTTGGCGATTTGGGGCATGTCCCTGAAGGAAGCCATTATGCCCAACACCTATTACCCTGCCTGAGCTGTGGGTTCTATTTTTAAGTCACTCCCAGTCATTGGCTCCAGCACATCCCAATACACCCCCCCATGGCCGTGAGGACATTCTTCCTTTAAGCTGAAGGTCTTTGGGCTGCAACTTAAGCCCCATGCTGGCTGGAGCCAGGTGGTACATAGACCCTGGGTGAGGTAATTGGCTATCCTGAGTGCCACTAAGCCAGGAGGCCAATTTCCACCCACAGGGAGGGAACAGAGAGCACCAGCAGGAGTCCTTGAGGATGGTGGGACTGGGGGAGAGCTGGGCTCAGTTTCAGAGGTATGAGGCCTGACACCCCTGAGAGTGTAGGTGGTATCCCCACCTTTGTACAGGGAGGAGACTTGGGATCCTGGGGTGGGAGCTGTCTAAGGTCCTGGGAGTGTGGTGTCCAATGGGGTGTAAATACCCACTGTCACCATATCATCAGGCAGGGCATGCAAGGCTCTGGGTGTCCCAGGAGCAGATCCTGTGGTCTCCAGGGCAGTAGGTCTGGAGCAGTGGAGACTTGGGTAAGAATAATTCAGATCTCCAGTAGAAGGATAGGAGGCCGGGCCTTTTCGCTGGAACGGAGCCAGGCTGGCACCTGCCCTGAAGGAGTGTAGGCTCCTGGAGAAATGTAGGCTCCTGGAGGAGTGTAGTGTGGCTAATATGAGGCCTCCAAACCACCCCAAGTGGTTTAGCTTTTTTAGGGCTTAGCTTTTCTGTGGTTCCCACAAGTGCTCACATTAGGATCCACAGCCAAGACTACTCCAGCAGAAGCACTGTCTCCCTGTGCCCCGTGCCAAGCACCTTTCAGGCCTTCCCTTTGTGCCCACCTCAGTGCTTCTCTACCCCCACCTCCAACCTCCAACTCAAGGCAAGGCCCTGATGCCCTGGAGAACAGGTGGGCAACAACCAGACTCCCTGCTCATCCATCACCCTCCAGAGACAGTGTGCAGCCTCAGCCTGCCCCCTGTGCCCACACCAGCACTGCTGGGGGCTCAGTTTCAGGCTTATGGCACCAGGCAGGCCTTGTGTCTGCCCTTACACACTTCCTGGACCACCCTGAGCCTTGGGTGAGACCCGGCTGGACTTGTACTTGACAAATGTTGCCTGAGCACTTGTGATGCTCTGCGACTTCTCTAGGTGCTGAGGACACAGCAGTGGTCAAAACAAAGGCCCTTATCAGAGAGAGAGAGCTCCCTCTAGACCTGACCTGGCCCCTCACCTCTCTGGGCTTTGGTGTCTCCAGCAAGATAACCGAGCTACCCAGACAATCCTCAGGGTTCTGTGGCATCCCCACCAGGTATTGCTGTCCCTGATTACAGACGCTGTAGGGAACAAGAGCCATTGCCCCAGGCAGCAGGGCAAGCAAGAAGCACACAGGCAGGGAAGCAGCTCCTGGTGAAGGGCAAGCGCTGGAGCAGGAAAAGATCCAACCCCATGGGGCCAGCTAGTGGTAACTGGCCGGCCCCAGAGGTTGAGGGGAGGAGGAGGAGGCTGCTGTCTCGGGTCTGGGATGAAGAAGGTGCTGGAGCTCAGTAGCCAGCCCAGCCCAGCTTGGCCTCAAGCCCCATCAGCAAGGCGGCTGAGGGCCTCGGTCTAGCTTTCCGCTGGCCCATCCACATGTGTGCAGTGTTCGTTCCCACAGTAGCGGCCCATTCCCAGAGGGATGCTCCAGGCTAGGGGCACCCAGAGCCCACCCTGCTGGGGAAGGACTTAAGAAAACACTGTACTCTTTGTTCACCTGCCTGCTGGCCCTCAAAACTCCACAATACCTTCTCAAAACACCACTGCTCATCCACAACATTTCATTGACCTGCTCAGGTGGCACAGCTGTGGTCGAGACCAGGGGCCTGTGGCTGGCAGTGTCCCCTGGGATCTAGCTGCAGCCCCGGAACGGGAATGGGCACACGCTGCTTTCCAAGAGCCTCAGAGGACAGGCAGACAAATGCATACTTCCTCCTCTTACCGTGCCCTGTCCCCACGGATGCCAGACTGCGGGTAGCAGGCACTCACCCGGGAGATCGTGAGCGGCATGTTGAAGTCCTTGCCCCCCTGTAGGCGGAAGCCCCAGGGTCCAGGCCCGGTCAGGGTAACGCTGTAAGACATGCTGGTGCTGACAGCTGCGGCCTCTGTGGGCGAGGGAGAAGAGTGGAGTGAGAGGGTCCTCACACACGCACCCTGTCTCCCCAGCCCGTATCTCAGCTCGTCCCTGACCCCAGCCTTGCCTGCTCCGTCCCTGGCTGCCCGGTCAGGCTCTGTGGAGCTTCTGAGAGGCTCCTAAGAATAGCTGAGAACGAATGCCATCGACACTGATATCTGCCCTCTGCTGCGCCCATAAATGGACTGTAACCCTATACTGTGCCCGCCCGCTGAGGCCTCCCGACCGGTGGACCGGTCCACAGTGACTCACGCAGCTAATATAGCCCCTGGGGAGGGGTGTTCGGCATTCAGCACCCCCTTCTAAGGGGCACGAAGGGGACTGGGTTGGTTAGTAATAATGGTCTCCTGCTCATCCTTCCTTGCTCCCACTACCCTCTGGAGCACCAAGGCACACACTCTTCCTGCCAGCTGTACCCACCCCTTTTTCCAGAAGACCATAGTGGGGCCCCTTTGGGCAAGGATTTTGTGATTTGGATCTTTTCTTTCCTGTGTCCCCTGGATGTGCCTCCTCCAAAGTAAGACACTGGTGATCCCTAGGACTGAGCTAAGCCTCCAGCTGGTCTGGACAGAGCTTCAGCTCAGAGACTGGCATGGGCCCAGGGCTGTCCGAACATAAAAATGATCATAACTGGGCATAGCCAAGTTTGGCTCCAGGTCCTTCGCACCATTGTCCCATCAGATCCTAAGAGGTTGCCACTTTGGTGGCAGGAACTAAGACTCAGAGAAGTTAAGTGACTTCTCCAGGATCACACAGGAAGTAGACTCAGACCACGCTGGAACCTGGACTCATTTGGATGGGACTCATGTGAGATAGCAGGCTCCCAGTGGTCTCAGGAACCCCCTAACACCAGGACCCCAACTGGGGAGAAGGCAGATGCTTCTCCACCCCTTGGCACAAGATCTGAAAGTCAGTCAGGGAGGCCTGCACCTTCCAGACCCTCTGGGGCCTGGTGGTTATTCCTGGCTCTCCTGTCTCATTTGTGTTCTGGAAAACTTGACAGCAGCAGGGAAAACTCCAGCTGCCAGGGTTGCACGCCAGGCCCCCATGCCCTTTGTGCCGGAATGGCAGGGACAGAGAGGAGGGAGGAGATGCCATTTGCTCAGCTGCTGGGACTCAGGGCCAGAATAAGCAGGAAGGGGAAACCTGTGGAAAACCTGTGACCCAGAGACAGTGTGTTCTGGGTGAGTGGGTGGGCCCCTTGGGTCTCTTGCCAGATGGATCACTGGACAGAAGCGATCTCTGGCTCCTTGTGGTCTAGAGATAGATCAAAGTCCACCCTGGCTTCCAATGGGGAAATTGAGGCCTGGAAAAATGACAGGGTATGTGCTCTCTCACCCTCCAGGGCACTCCGGGCTGGACTGGCCCTCAGATTCGGTGCAGGCCATGGTGCCTGTACTTTCCTGACTGTCAGTACCCTGCCTCACGTCCTGGACCTGGCATATACAGTGATGGCAGACGGAGTCACACATCACAGGTAAATAGTCCAAGATCACAAAAAACAAAAGTGGAAAGAGTCATTGTGCTCTTTTCCTCGCTTCACCACCTCCTCTGCCCTGTGTCATGCAGCCCACACCTGTCCTCCTGCCCTAACCTCCCCAGAAAACTGGCAGCTCATGGCCAGCACCCTGACCCTCTCCCACACCCCATCCCATCCATCCCTTTCTTAAAGGGGTCTGTGCTGCCAGGCTGGGAGGTCTCAGCAGCAGAGCATACCTAGGATGGGGGAAGGAAGGCGCTGCAGAACCTGGGTTAGGCTGTACCTGGAGCAGCAGGCTCTTCTCGCCTTGGGCACCCGCCTTGTGTTGCCTCTGGGGACTGGGAGGGGTGGTAGGAAGGATGCTCTTAAAGGGAAAGGCCCGCCTCCTCCCATGGTGTCCCCTGGGAGAGCCAAAGCCAGCCAGAGAGCAGCTGGGCCCCACAGACTGGGTGGGGGTCCATTCCTGATAACAGCAGCTCATTGAGGAATGGGAGGGGCTGAAGCCGGCCCTTGTCCCTCCCCGACTCCACGTCCTGCAGCTTGGGATGGAGGCTTCCAGAGAGCCACAAGGTGGGGGACAGAGGAAGGGGAGACAGAGAGGCTGCTGAGGGCATCCTGTCACAGCACCAGTAGATGGAGCCCTGCTTGTCAGAGGCGACCTCTGCATTTTATTTCCCTCTACCTGTGTCAGAGCCACATCATCCTGGCTGGACTTAGCCCACCGACCTGAAACAAACCACAGGAACAATGTGTGTGCACAAGTGTGCTTGGTGTGCATGCAAAAATGTGCATGGGAAGAACATGTCCTCATGTGACAGTGTGCACAAGTGTGGCTCTCAGTGGAAATGGCATTCTGGGGGGAGAAGCCAGAAGAGGGGAATCGTTTCCGACATATGAAGCTCTGTGCTCAGTTTCAACGGCAGCTGTGGCAGAGACAGTGTTGGCCTCCCCGTGCCAGTGACGTGTCCAGCCAGCCAGGGTCAGAGGCAGCTCATAAATAGCCAGGGTGTCCCACAGAGCCATCACCATTGTTCTGCCTGGACAATCACGGCATAGAGCATTGACAGAGAGGGCCTGGGCCCCCATTCTTCAGCCCGAACCTGGGTGAAGGCTGCTGCAGGCTGATGAGAAGTGGGTGCAGACTACTTTGGAAGGCGGGAGTTCTGTGATATGAGGCTGTGAATCCGGCGCGGTGTGGGTGACAGGCCACTGCCAAAGTCCGCAGGCTCATGGTCTGTGTGCACAGGAGAAGTGAGAGGGCAGGATGTGTCTTTGAAGAAAGGGACAGCCAGTGGGAGCCGAGCCCTACATTCCGGGGTCCAGGCTGGGGAGAAGAGTCTTGTTCTGAAAACAAACAGCACACACCTGCTTAGTCCTAAGAGTGTCCCACTGGGAGCCATGACCCCTGCATTCAGGGTGTCGGAGAGGCGAAGGGGGTTGCTTGGAAGGGCTAGGGGTGTCCTGGGCTGGGCATGGGTCTCCTCTGAGACTGCAGGCCATGTGACCCAGAGCATAGAGCAGACAATGTCTCTAGCTCCCTGCAGGACATCTCCCTGGGATGTCCAGGAGTCCAGTTGAGCTTGCCCTCACTCCCACTGTCCATTTCTTTACTTCCTTCCTCTCCTACGTGCGTCAGCCCTGGTGTCTGCTCTTTCTTGGCTCCTTGAGTGCCTCACTCCTGGCCTGTCCTTGGGCACTGCCTTTCCCTGCTGGTTCATGCCATACAGCCTGTCCTTCCCCAGCCACAGCAGAGGGGCCTGGCTACTTGCAAGCTGACCAAGCCCACCTCAGTGCCTGCACTCAAACTTTTCAGGGCTCCCTGTTTCCCCAGAACCATACTGAAGACCCCTGAGGCCAGCACCTGAGTGGTTTCCCCACCACTCCTACCACCACTGACCTCTTTCCTTCTGCCCCCACTGCCAGCTCTCAGGTGCCATTGGCTGCTCCTGGGTTGCAGGAAGACCTTCTCTGCTGGGACAGCCAGGTTCTCCTGTCCCCCATGGTGCCAGCATGGATGTTTCCTCAGCCTGGACCACTGGAACCACTCCCTCTCCATCCTGCCTGGCAATCACCTCCACCCACCCTGGGGAGCTCTTGGGAAGTTAACTCTGCTTCCAGCACCCTGCACACTGCAAGCTGTAATTAGGTGACTGCTGACATGCTGCTTCTCATTGCCTGGCAATTGCCCCACCCAAAAGTCTCCCCACAGAAGGCACAGGGCCATTCATCATCTCCCCCAACCCCATCTCTCACTAGGGTGCATCTTGGCCTCTGTGTTGTTGCCCAGTGCCTGGTCTCAAGGCGATGAGCGAATCCTCCCTGGGACTGGAGGATTAGGGGAGCAGTGCTCCCTGGGTTGGGAACGCTTGGGAAGAGGTTGGAAAAGGAGCTTCATAACTGGAGGAGCAAGCTGGGGTCCCCATTCTCATGGACATACAGGGGCTCTGTTTGGGGAAGACAGGCAGGAAAGTCCTGTGGAACTGGGCTAGCTGGGGAACCCAAGAGAGCCCAGGAGCTGGCCAGGCAGGCCAAAGAACGTGGGTGTGAGCAGAGAGGCAGGATGGGGAAGGGCAGCCTCAAGGCCTGTACACACGGCATTTCCAGCGTTCCAGAATATGGCCTTCTCTAGTCACCGTCAACATTCCGTTCCACAGGCACTTGGGCTGACAGCTGGCCTTCTTTTAATAGCCACGAGTGTTCTGGGTGACATGCTAATCTCAGGGCACTCGCTGCGAGCACACACGGCTTGCAGGCATCACCATACTCTCAGCTATGTCCAGTCTTTAATCACACAGAGAGGTACATACCACCCACGCTTGGTCACACCCTCTGCTTAGAGCAGACACTCCGGGGCACCTTCAGTCCCATGTCCTGTGGTGTCACAGCGACAAAGAGCATGTGCTGGTCAAGCATGTCACACACAGGCCTGAGCTACACTGTGCCAACTGCACGTCGCATACACTCATGGTAACATCCACCACCCAGGCACCCACAGCCAGGTGTGCATGTAGTCAGGTCCCACAATCATATGTGCATGCTCAGGTGCTTTCACATACCATGCCAGCCAGCATCTTGGTGTCACAGTGACTCTCAGATGCTCAGGAAGACTGGAAGGGAGGTATGGGGGTTCCTAGAGGACACTGGGTCTGGCCACAACAAACCCCCTTTTGGTGACCACTCCCAGGCTACTTGTCCCTTGCCCCCACTCCTCTATAGGGTGGCAGATGCCAGGTCCAGTCACCTTCCCAGCAGCGTCCAGTCCCTGGGGCTTGCGAGGGGCCTTGGCTGCCGGGTCCTCCAGGTCCTGCCGGTGGAGGGATCTACTGCCTTCTTGCTGAGCAGCCCCCCTGCACGCAGGCGCAGCCTCAGAGTCTGTCCAGCCCTGGGGGAGGTGGGGAGTCACTGTGAGTTGAGAGGGACATTCCAGTCTTGCTCCTGCCCCCTCCACCACCAAGGCCTTCTTCCTCCCAGACAGTTCCCTGGGGTGAGACCCCCTGACACCATTTGCAGGGTTGCTGGCAAGCA